GTGCTCTTCCGATCTCCCCAAAACCCCAAAACCCCTCATAGCTATATATTTTAAAACGTAAAAATAATTGGAAATCATTTTATACTTTATATCTTTAAATGGAAGCAGTGAGAAAAAGAATACCTTTGACATTTATTACTGGAAACAAAAAGAAGCTCGAAGAATTCATGTCAATTATGAGTGAGGATCTTGCTAGTAAATTCATAGTGAATACCAAGGAAATCGATTGTAAAATATTGTTAGATTTCTTAATCTATATAAAGTGGATGAATTATAAGGAGAGCCAGAATTTATAGCTTCAAGAAAAGCAAAATTAGCAAGTCACTAGGTACCGAACCCAATCATTATTGATGATGTGTCTCTATGTTTCAACGCACTTAAGGGACTTCCAGGTCCATATATGTAAATATTCAATGAGAGAGCTAATTCCTATTAGTAAATCTTTCCTTGATAAGATTGGCAGATAAGGTTTAGTCAATATGGTGCAAGGTTTTGAAGACAGAACAGCATATGCTTAATGTATATATGCATTCTGTGAGTCGCCAGAGCACGAGCCTTAACTCTTTGTTGGTAAATGCCCAGGCTAGATTGTTGCTCCAGCAGGTGAAAACATGTTTGGATGGGATCCTATTTTCTTGCCAGACGGCTTTACTGAAACTTTCGCTCAAATGGACATGGAAGAGAAGAATAAGATATCTCACAGAGGCAGAGCAGGAGAGCTCATTAAGGAATATCTCACATCTAACTCTTAGAGATTATTGGAAAAGTTCGGTTAGTGAAATAAACGAGTATGAATTCCTTATTTATCCTTTAATGATTCAAGTTATACTTAACTGTATAAATATATTAAAACACATACTATAAATATTAAATTCACGCTTAATTATAGTTTTAATTGTTTAGAATAAGAGTATTATTGTTATTGTTTTAATGGAGATAAAAACTTTCTTAAGAGTCAGGCCAGTTTCAATGGCCAACTAAGAACTTTATGAAATCTCGGAAGACTCTAAAAGTATCGTAATAAAGGAATCAGTCTTGGCAAGCTAGGGCATGGGAAGGAAAAAGCAAGTATAGATGGATGGCCCTCCGGCTGACTCTGAATTCAAATTTGAACAAATTTTCAATATGGATTCTAGTCAGGTAATCAAGTTTTCCATTTTATTATATTTATCTTAGAATGAAATTTATAAAGCTACAGTCTTTCCTCTGCTAGATCAAGCGATGAATAAATAATCTAATACAGCAATAATTGCTCATGGAGAAAACTAGACTGGCAAGAGCTATACCATATTTGGAGTTGAGAACATTTAGCAAGAGGAATTTTCAATTGATTAAGAGGATCCAAAGGATACTAGAGGTGTAGTGATGAAAGCTATTCATTACATATTCAAAAAGGCTAAGGTAGAAGGCAAGTCAGTATCACTTGAGTGTCAAATGCTTGATGTTTACTTAGATACTATTAGGGATTTATCAAAGGGAAAAACTAATAAATTCAATAAGCAAAGCGTTGCTAGCTAGAGTAATCTTATGTTTGAAAGAGAAAAAGATGTTGAGATAGAAGAGCTCGCTAATGGAGACATTAAACTTAACAACATACAGAATGTAAAGATAAATAATCAAAAGGAAGCAGCAACTTTTATAGAAAAATGCGTAAACTATTTTTATTCTTAATAATTATTAGCTTGACTATCAAAAAAAACTAGAAAATGACAATGGCCAATTTAGATCATTTGCTCATACAATATTCATTATTAATCTGACCTATGGCAAGGAGATTATTTCTTAGATATATTTTGTGGATCTAGGTTCTTCAGAGAGAAAGGGTTCTAAAAAGTAAAAGGAGGGATTTGTAGTTCAAGGCAGTTTGGCATCATTCTAAAAGCTTATTTGCTAGTTGCAGGTCAAACTTTCTGATGAAGAGAGGGAGATGCTTTAATTTAAGGATAATAAATTGTCATTTGTCCTTAAGAATTTATACAAGGAATACACAAGAATAAATTTCATTTTTCATGTAAGTATTACTGAGTCTGGGTTAGAAACTGCTCTTAAAACACTGGAAACCAGTGATCGAATGAAAAGTAACTAAATTGATCGCAAAAATGGAGGGAGTGGACCTGATAATGGTAACGGAAATCTAAACGAAGGGGAATAATAAGAATTCAGTATTGATCAACTTATTTAACATCTTAACAAAGAGAACTTTGACCTTAGAAATTAAATTGAAACTCTGAAGAGATCGCATAAAATTAAACTAGAAGAATTGCAGTAAATACTTTAATTGCCTGTGGAAATAGAATATTTGCTCAAGAATAAAGAAACTGCTCCTGAAATGTAGATGATCCATGAGCAGAGAAAAGCAATGGAAAAAGCTGACTCGCTTATCAAAGCAAATAAAGACCTAGAAAAGCGTTTAGATTTTCTATAGACTGAACTCTAAGAGCTGAAGAAGGATAAGAAGCTATAATAAGAATAGTTTAGCTAAAAGTTCATAGTCCTTAATTCACAGATTGAATAGTTAAGAGAAGATAAGGAGTCTCATAAAATGTAACTGGAGAATTAACTACGAATGAATAAAGCATACTCAGCTTATGATTTGAAACAAGTCTAGTAGACAGGTTAAATGCTAGTATCGTAGAATCTGAAAATTGCAAAGTAGCTCGAGAAGAATGACTTATTCAAGTCAGAGTAAGATCAAAATAAGATTAATGTTGAAATGGAGGATATCAAAGATAAGGTTAAAGGAGATAGTGTGCTAAAATATTAAAGACTCTATAGTCTTCAAATCAAAGCTTAAGAAAAAGAAATACAAAGAATACAAGAGCAGTATGAATCTCAGATAAAGATGAAAGAAGATCAATTGTAAAAGTTAATTGCACTCTACCATAAATAAAAAGCAAAAAGAGAGTAAGACTTATTATTTCCAATTCATTTAAATCTAATAATAGATCTGAGATCAAAGAGGCAAATGAAGAATTGAAAAAGCTCTATGAGGTATTTATTAAATAAGACTAGATAGTATAAGGACTTAAAAGAGGAGATTACAGTGGAGCTAGTAATACTCTGCACATACCCTAAAAAGATATGGTTCCTCATCCTGAAAGGGAAAACTTTATTCAGTACACATTACTTCTCTTCTAATTTTCGTAATAGGCTTACTAAGATTTAAGATAGCCATGACGACAAGTCATCTCGAACATTTGGGAAAAAATTTTCTCAATCAAAATTACTTAATGATATCAAGCATCAGAAGATTTAAAGTATGCACATGACTAATCAGTCAGACCACATGACCTCAATCAATGCCTATAGCAGCAACTAAAATACTGGTGCATATAATACCCCATCTAATGCAAATCAGAACATAGATATAATGAAATCAAACATCTAAGATCTTGAATATGATCAAATGAAGTAACTTGCTTCTAAATTGCAACAAGAAATTAAAAAGATCAAGGCAAAGCCATTAAATCCTGATAACATTAGAATTGAAAAAATAAAAGAACTGTAGGAAGAAAGAGAAAGATTGAAAGACTTATACATGGCTGAGTCAATCAAAAACAGAGAAAGTTAAAATTAAGCTACTGATGTTATGAGCACATCTGGGGATAATAGACCTTCACATACAGCATCTGCTTCCTAGAGGCCAATGACTACTGTTAGCTAAGGCAGCACAATAAGAGGAGGGTTCTTTGTAACTTAGATGGGAAACTCCAGACCTAATTCAAGATTCAATTAGGGTGCTCCAAGAAGAAATATAATTATTAAGCAATGAGGAGTTCTGATATAGCTACATATTGATTTCAATTTAACCTAATTCTTGATTTAATGAATTCAATAATTCTATAAAAAAGATTAAATTCCTGCTTAAGGGGTTTTGGGGTTTTGGGGTTTTGGGGTTTTGGGG